ATTTAGAAGCACTATATCATTGTGTTTAAGACTACATGCTTTATCTCTAAATAAGATGGGTTCAAACTGCAGCTATGTTGTGAAATAGTTATGTGGTCTAAAGCAAGTTATTTAACATCTCTGTGCCTTGGTTTCCTCATCTGCTATCTAAGATAATAATACTTATTACCTCATGGGATTTGGAGAAAGAGCAAATGAGCTGATACATGCAAAGCTCTTGGAATTGGGACTAGCCCATTCAAAGTGCTCAATGCGTTAGCTATTTTTTAGAATTGTTTCATGTATTTGAGTCTCATCTAAAAACCATGTCTGCCTTATGGTTACAGGAAATGAAAACTAGAAAGAATTTGAGATTAAAACCTCAGAAGTCAGGGTTCCATTGTTATTCTTCACTAAGTGCATGGCTTGTATGCACTTAACAACAAAGCAGATAAATTCATAACACAAAAACTGCTGGGAATGCAAGGATAATGTCATTAAAAATACATAAGGGCTGAAGATTTTCATAAACATTTTCAGTAGCAAATAGCCCAGGTATACCAAAAATAAATGCAATTACAAACTTAAAAACAATAATGTAGGCCGGGCATGGTGGCTCACGCCTGCAATCCTAGCTCTCTGGGAGGCTGAGGAGGGAAGATCACTTGAGGTCAGGAGTGTTGGGAGTGCAGCCAAGCTCCCCGCAAAAAAACGGGTCGCTTTGGTAGAGTTGCAAGGGATAAGAATAGAAAATGGAAAATAATGGAAATAAAAGAATACACAGAAACAAAGGTATAGTTTTATAGATTTATAAAGATTATAGGCAAAGCAGGCACTCAGGGGGCCTGGATTTCTCTGTCAGTCTCAAAAGGCCACGAATGGAGTCTTATATGGTCATTTATAGGTAATAGTGATCGGTTGCCAGGGGTAACAGATTTATATAACAGCAGGTAGTTCCCCTTAGGTTAACAGTTTTTCAAAAGGCTTCTACAGATCCCTTAACTAATTCTATCTACGTGAACAAATGGTTACAAAATCTTTCAAATATTAACTTCTAAGTTCTAAGGTAAATTTATCACTTAACAGAGGGGTTAAACAGAGATATATTGGCTCCATATTTTCTTTATCAGGTTATTGTGAATGGAGACAGGTAGTCCAAAGTTTTAAGCAGGAACTGCCCCTTGGGCTGATTGCTTTTAGCCATGGGCGGGCACTCTTTTATCAGCTCTCATCCCATAGTTTTTAACAGATTTTCTTTGCTTTACAAAGCAAATCCAAACCTTTAGGTCTGAGAAAGGCGGTGCCTTGTGGGATACAGCCGCTACTGTCTTTCAGAGATGCCCTCCCGAGGGGCAACAGCTTTTGATATGCAAACCAACACGTTCACATATTCCTTCAGGGCAAAGCTCTGCAAAACTCCTGAGACATATCCTGTCTCCAAATATATTTATATTAATTCATGGAGCAACAGAGGAGTTCAAGACCCCAACTCTACAAAAAACAGAAAAATCAGCTGGGCATGGTGGCATTTGCGTGTAGTCCCAGCTACTCGGGAGGCTAGGGCAGCAGAACCTCTCAAGCCCTAGAGTTTGAGGTTGGAGTGAGCTATGATGATGCCACTGCACTCTAGTGGGGCAACAGAACAAAACCCTATCATTCATTCATTCATTCATTCATTCATACGTACATACATAAATAAATAAATGCTTACATCTCTAAATAAAGAATGTATATTTTTTATATCCGTAGAACAGGAACAAGAATCTATCATGAACTTATCCATACGGAAATCATAAGCTTATTCAAAATATTGCAGCCAATGTTCTTTTATCACAATCCCACAAAATCAGAAATAAAAATAAAACAGGCCGGGCACGGTGGCTCACGCCTGTAATCCTAGCACTCTGGGAGGCCGAGGTGGGTGGATTGCTTGAGCTCAGAAGTTCGAAACCAGCCTGAGCAAGAGCGAGACCCCATCTCTACTAAAAATAGAAAGAAATTAATCGGACAACTAAAAATATATAGAAAAAAAATTAGCCGGGCATGGTGGCGCATGTCTGTAGTCCCAGCTACTCGGGAGGCTGAAGCAGAAGGATCGCTTGAGCCCAGGAGTTTGAGGTTGCTGAGAGCTGGGCTAACGCCACGGCACTCACTCTAGCCCGGGCAAAAGAGTGAGACTCTGTCTCAAAAAAAAATAAAATAAAATAAAACAGTAACCAAAATTAGAATTAAGAACTCACTGATAATCCATGGATAGAAAGAAATCAAAACAAATTATACTAATGCCATCAATATAAGAACACTTCAACCCAAAATGACGGAATACAATGTGTGGAATAAATATAAAACCCCAAGCCCTTGACAGACTAAATTGAACCCTCTTGGCCAAGGAGACCCCAGAAAAACTTTAAAAACTAAGTTTCCCACCCATGACAGGATAGGAGGTCAGTCACACCTCAGTATACTTCCTTTCTCACTAACCATTACCAGACTTTTCTCCTATGAGTTAACAAGAAACCAGCCCTGGAAAACAAAGAACCAAAGATTCCTCCACTGACTTCAACTTCAACTAACTGCCTGACACCGCAGCCAGACTCCCACCCTCTTCCTGGTTTTGACATGACAGCTGACCAATTTCACAACACATTCCTTCCTGATAAATGACCACTGACCACAGACTTGTTCTGGCTGGTTTACAGAGGCTATGCACAAAGCACCTTTGTGTCCTAAGTTTCATCTTTTGACATATAGACTCTAATTTTACTGCATTTTAATGTTAAGTCTCTACCTCAAAGTGAACATGGGATGTATATAACACGCATGTTTGCTTACCACACATTTATGTGACCCCCTTTCATGAATAGTCGTAGCCCCCTTTAATCTATTAAACATATATGGTTAGCCAACCATTTGCATGAAACTCCCGTCCCACCCTTCCTCCCTCGAAGTGCCTGTTTACAGTCTCAGCTGAAGGCTCCACTTCCCAGTTTGCGTGTTGCAACCCATCATAAGAAATAAAGTTCTCCTTTTCAAATTTATAGATTTTTTAATTTTAAGTCAACAAATGAAAATTATACTAAGAAGAAATACTGCAGCCATCCTTCTCTTTATTATTCAAGAGGGAACTCAGTAATCCTTAATAAAGAAACATAGTGCTTGTCTCAGTCTGCTTGGGCTGTTATAACAAGATGTCATAAACTAGGTGGCTTAAACAATAGACATATATTTCTCACAGTTCTAGACCTGGGAAGTCTGAGATCAAGGTAACAGCAGTTCAGGGTTCTGGTAAGAACTCTCCTCCTGGCTTTCAGATAGAAGTCTTCTTGCTGTGTCCTCCCAAGGCAGAGAGAGAAAAAGAAACCTCTCACCCCATCTCTTCTACTAAGGGCACTAATCCCATCATGAGGGCTCCACCCTCATGATCTAATTACCTGTCAAAGGTCCCACCTCCAAATAGCACTATATTGGAAATTAGGGCTCTAATACATGAAAGGGAGGGAAGGGAACAAAATTCAGGCCGTAGCAGTACTCTTAATACAAATCTTATAAAATCAGAAAAGGAACATAAGAAAATAAGCTGAAAAAAGTGAAAGAAGAAAATGATCAAGAAAAAAACCTAAACTTAACAAAATAAATAAAAATAAAGTATCATAGCCATTACAAACAATCTGAAAGATTATATTAATACTTTTCAAAGCTAAACAGAGAAACCTCTTTTGGTGGCTGGGTGCTGCAGCTCACGCCTATGATCCTAGCACTCTGGGAGGCCAGGGCAGGAGGATTAATAGCGCTCAGGAGTTCCAGACCAGCCTGAGCAAGAGCAAGACCCTGTCTCTACTAAAAATAGAAAAATTAGCTGGGTGTCATGGTGCACACCTGTAGTCCCAGCTACTCAGGAGGCTGAAGCAGTAAGATCGCTTGAGCCCAGGACTTTGAGGCTGCAGTGGGTTATGATAACACCACTGCACCGCTCTAGCCCGGGCGTGACAGTAAGACCCTGTCTAAAAAAAAAAATAAAAAAATAAAAAAAAAAAACCCACAAAAGCTTGTATGTCTCTACATCTGTGCATATGATTAGAAATGAGAAAGAACACATTTAGGAGAAGTTATAATAATTATTTAAGAGTATATATATATGTAAGTATACAGCAACCAATCTGCTAACTTCAAGGAAAGAGATAATTCCCTACAAAAATAAGTTATTAAAGACTGATCTAAAAAGAAGAAAGCATGAATAATTTCCATAGAAGAGTTTGAAAGAAGAATTTAAAAGCTACCATTTTTAAAGAGACCCGGACCAGATAGTTTCATCAATGGTTCCATCCAATCTTTAAGGAGCAAGGAATTCCAATATAATCCAGGTCATAGAAAAATATTAAAATCTCTCCAGTTTATTTTGTGATGTTAACATTACCTTAGTACTAAAACCTGATAATAAAAGTACAAAAATACATAATTCAATACCATTAAAGCAATTATAACTTTCATCAATATATCAAAAAATGTTGACAGTCTACTCAGTAGAGTGCATTCCAGGAATACAAGAATGTTTCAGTATTAGGAAATTATCTTCATAATTAATTACATCAAAAAATTGAATAAACCATATAATTATAATAATGGATAACAAAAAGTATTTCATGAAAATTTGGTCATTCTTAATAAGAATTAGGGTATGGTAATTTAGTAACCAAATAAAAGGATTTAAATATAGTAACACTTCTTAACAAAAAACATTAAACTCAGATTAAGTGTCTGAAAGACTCTTAATATAGCCAAATGCCTAAACTAAGGTGAAGTTTGACAGTAGGAATTGAGACAGGATGATAAATTTGAAATTTTCTACATAAATACATAAATATATATATTCAAACATGCACAAGCATATACATATCTATGTAAATAACATTCATACATATAAACACCACCAAATTATATATAAAAAATGTATGTATATTCTTTCACAGAAAACATACACAATATACATAATTAGACATTTGCATTTATTCTCTGTTAAAATACTAGTTTACCTGTTTGGGAAGTCGGAACAAGGGATTCTTATAGAAAATGTCCTTAGCCTGGCTCCATGTACCATCAATGATGATGACTGTGGAAGGGTAAACAGGAGAATCTAATATAAATTCTTCCAAATTAGCAGCGTCAGCCCCTGGATATAATATTAATGTACCAGACTTCCGGCAAACAGTTGAAAGTTCAGGATCTCTAAAAAAATGTTTAAAAAATATATCTTTATTAGCTTGTGAAGAAAAAACATTTTATTATGCTTATTGAACTTCCTAATTAAAGTTCCCCTATATCTAGTCATTTTTCCAATCAGAGGTATTAATTAGTTCATAAAGTATGAATTACAACATTGAAAATTGTGTGTACTCTTTACTTATTCATTAGCCACAATTTTGCCACTCTCCTCTAGGCGTCCCAATCTTCACGATTCTTCTCCATTACAACTTTTCTATCCAACTGTCAGTGATATAACTTAAACCTCCCAAAGAAGTCTTCCGTTTCTCACTACTTTGTCTGAAATTTGATCTACTTTATCACAGCAAACAACTGGCACAAACAATCCCAGTAGCAACAGAACCATAAGGAGAAGTTATGTTACTTAGGTTATTGGCAAAGCAGATTCTTAGATTACCTATATTACCTATTGAAAAAAAATCAAAATATTTTTCCCCAAAATATACTTCTTTGACATATGCCATCTTTGAGATGGCTGTTCAAAGGGCCTGCAAACAGAAGTAGCCCTGCAAAGCTGTCTTTTGTGGGGAAGAATTGTATTTGTAGAGAAAATCTGCATTGACACAGCCAGGCTTTCTCTGAGGGGCTTCCCTTGTCCAGATCTAGGAAAGATTAATTGAGAGTCTGACACTGTAAAGATCTGAAAGAAACATTAACCATCTATTCCCTCTGAGGGCTGCTACACATGAGGTTTCATCTGCATAACAAGATCACCCTTGCTAGCCAGGCCTCCTCTTCACCCCGTCCGTCCCCGTATCTATTTTGGCACCATAGCCTACTTTGCCACACTCCAAGTCCCATTCTTTCTGTGAACTCAAGATGGTATAAAAGCATCAATCATCTGGCCATTTCTTTGAGTTCTCATATTTTGTAAGACTCTCATGCATGTTAATAAATTTGTATACCTTTTCTCCTATTAATCTGCCTAGCAAACCTTCAGAGGGCAAAGGGGAAATTTCCCCTTGGCCCCTACACCATCCAGTTCAGTTATAAGGTTAACTAACTCAATATTCATTCAAAAATACATGTCAAAACATGTTGGCACTGGAGATGTAACAATTAATAAGATAGTCTCTGCTCACAAGCAAAAAAAAAAAAAAAATTCTCTTGAAGGTTAAGGAGATAAGTAAAAGTCAATTAAAGACAACATGATAATTCAGACTTCCAATTTCAGCTCAAACATACAAAGAGCATGTCAGTCATCAAGCTCATCCTCTCAAGAAAAATGATAACAAACTGAAAACCAACCACTTTTCTTAGCTCCATCAAAGAATTGAGGCCTCAGGGCAAACACTCCAAAAATTAGAGAGACAAGGCAAAAACAGAGAATCAAAGCCAAAGCAGTTCACTGGGGAGCAGAAACCACTAAAGCTAGTAACTGGTAGGAACATTTGAACAGTCATTGACAAATTACTGAAGGCTGAGTGTGGACTAGCTTGAAAGTTAAAACTCCTAGGGGCCCAGTCTTGGCAGGGAAGTCCCATACTTTCCTGGGTTTTACATCCAAGAGCTCCGTTAAGTTCTCATAATGAAGGTCTGAGAAAAATTCTGTTGTGCTTTAAGGTAGGGAAAGGTGAAAAGTAATCAGTGTTCTCCATAACAAAGGCCTTCCCTCAAGGAAAACTACTTTACCAGAGCTTTTTTTCCACCTATTATTTGGCCATAAAAAGAAATCAAGTACTAATGCATATTACAACATTCATGAACCTTGAAAATATTATGCTATCTGAAAGAAGCCAATCACAAAAGTCCACATACAGTATTTCACATATATGAAATTATTCCATATATATGAAATATCAGATATCAAATAAGCAAATCTATAGAGACAGAAAGTACACCAATGTCTGCTTAGGGCTGGGAAAGAGCAGGGAGATGGAGAGGAGAGAGGGGATAAGGGATGGGTGATAGCTAAAAGCACAGGGTTTCTTTTTGAGGTGATGAAATGTCCTAAAATTGGTGATGGTAGCAAATATCTTTGAATATACTAAAAATCCCTTGTCATTTTAAACCCATAAATTAAATGCTGTGTGAATTATATCTCAATAAAGCTGTTTCAAAAAAACAAAAGGGAAAGAGGAAGGTATACCATGATAACACTAATCAAAAGATAACTGCAGTAGCTATATCAATTACAGACAAAGCTGACTTCAGAAGAAGGAAAATTATCAGGATAGAGGAGCACCACATAACGAGAAAGGAGTCAATTCTCCAAGAAGACATAACAATCTTTAACATGTATGTGCTTAACAACTCAGTATCAAAATGTGAGGCAAAAACTGATAGAAATGAAGAGAGAAACAGACAAATCCAGTAGTACAGTTGGAGACTTCAACACAACTTTGTCAGTAACTGGTAGATCAAGTAGGCAAAAATTCAGTAAGGATATATTAGCCTGAACAGCACTATCAGTCAACTTGACCTAACTGATATTCATAGAATACTCCATCTCCCAAGTTCACAAGCAACATTCACCAAGATAGACCACATTCTGGGCCATAAAACGTACCTTTACAAGTTTAAAAGAATAGAAATCATACAAAGTATGCTCTCTCAGACTACAACGGAATTAAATTAGAACTCAATAACAGAAAGATAGATGGAAAATTCCAAAAGATTTGGAAACTGAACAACACACTTCTGAATAAACCATGAGTCAAAAAAGAAGTCTCAGGGAAATTTAAAAGTATTTTGAACTAAATCAAAATTAAAATACAACTTACCAAAATGTGAGAGATAGGGGAGTGGAGGTGGAAAAAAAAAATTGAGGGATGCAGCAAAAGCAATGCTTAGAGGGTCATTAATAGCATTAAAATGCACATATTAGAAAAGAAAAAAGACCTAAGATCAATAGCCTAAGCTTCCTCTTTAAAAAAAAAAAAAAAAAAAAAAAAAAACAAGAGAAAAAAGAACAATTTAAGCCTAAAGCAAGCAGGATAAAAAGAAATAGTAAAATTTAAGATGGAAATCAATGAAGTTCGAAAAAGGAAAACAATAGGGAAAAGCAATGAAGCCAAAAGCTGACTGTTATACAGAATGAACTGTGCCCCCCTAAATTCATATATTGACATCTTAACCCTTAGTATCTCAGAATATGACTGTATTTAGAGATAGATAAATCACCTTTAAGGAGGCAATAAGTTAATATGAAGCCCTTAGGGTGGGCTCTAATCTAATCTGACAGGTATAATCATAAGAAGAGGTAATTTGGACATACGAAAGAGACACCAGGGGCACATCTGCGTAGAGGGACAACCAAGTGAAGAGGCAGTGAGAGGGCAGCCATTTGCAAGCCAAGGAGAAAGTCCTCAGGAGAAACTGAACCTGCTGACATTTTGATCTTGTACTTCTAAACTCCAGAACTGTGGAAAAATAAATTTCTCTTTGGCTACCCAGTCTGTGGTATTTTGTTATGGCAGTCTTAGAAAATTAATACACTGGTTCTTTGAAAAGATCAATTGAATCGATAAAACTACAGTCAGGATAATCAAGAAAAAAAAAGGGAAGACACGATATCAGAAATGATAGAGGGATGGTCACTAATGATCCTATAGACATTAAAAGAATAATAAAAGAATACTACAAAAAAACTCATTGCCCACAGATTTCATAATTTGGATGAAATTAACTAATTCCTTAAAAGACATAAGCTACCAAAATTCACACAAGGAGAATTAGGAAAACTGAAAAGCCCTATATCTATTAAAGAAATTGAAACAATAATTAATAATCTGCAAAAAAACCTTCACCAGTCGTAAATGGTTTCAACAGTAAATTCTCTCAAGCATTTAAGAAGAAATAATATCAATTTTCTATAATCTCTTCCGGATAATAAAAGCAGAGAGAACATTTCCTAATTCATTTTATAAGGCCAGCATTACCCTAATATCAAAACCAAATAAAGACATTACAAGAAGGAAAAAAAAAAAAACACAGACCAAAATCTCTCACGAATATAGATACAAAAATCCTCAGTATTAGTAAATTAAATCCAATGATGTATAAGGAGAATTATTAATATCTACCACAACCAAACAAGATTTATAATAGGTATGGAAGGCTGTTTTAACACTCAAAATCAATAAATGTAATCAACGACATCAATGGACTAAAGAAGAAAAATCAAAGGACTATATTAATTGAGAAGAAAATACATTTGACAAAATCCAACATCCATTCCCAATAAAAACTCTCAGCAAACTAAGCATAGAGGGAGAACTTCCTCAATTTAATAAAGAACATCTGCAAAATATCTATAGCTAGCATTATACAATATAGTTCCCTTAGACTGGGAACAAGGCAAAGATATCCTCTTTCACCACTGCTGTTCAACCCCTCGCTACTGCAATAAGACAAGACAAGGAAACAATAGACATGCAAACTGAAAAGGAAGAAATAAAACTAACTCTATTATCAGATAACCTTATCATCTGTGTAGAAAATCCCAAAGAATTAACTAAAAAATAACTCTAAGAACTAATAAGTGAGTATAGCAAGATCACGAGATACAAGGTTAATAAAAAAGGCAACTGCTTTCCCATATACTAGCAATGAACAATTGGTATTTGAAAATTCTTTTAAATACCATTTACAATAGCATTCCAAAAATGAAATACCTAAGTATAAATCTAATAAAATACATACAGTACCAATATGTCAAAAACTATTGAAAGACTGGTTTAAAAAAGCAAAATAGATCTAACTAACTGCTTTGGATTTAAGAATTATTGCAAAGACAGTACAGAGAGTTTCTGTATACATTATAGCCAGTTTCCCCTATTATCTAGAAATAAAATATATAAAAACAATAGCACAAAAAATGGATGG